TTTCCCTGAGGATATCAGACACTCTCTCTTCCTCTCTCTCTCTTTCTGACACACACACACACACACACACACAGCCTAGAGGGATGTCATCAAGGGTTCACGGTATAGTCACAGACACCATGTATGTGAGCGTGACAGAATGACAGTCTATTAAAAGTGCTTTTTTCACAGCAGTATCTGTGTAACCTCAATGCTTCCGTTGTGCATGTTTTCGTGTAAATGCACGTAGTCTTCTTTACCCATACGCTAAATTATAGTTATTTGTACAAGAAAGCAGTCAGACTGATGTCAAAGCTGACCTTTAAAACCACATGAACGCCATTATTTTTCACTGGGGGGAAAAAGTCACTGTTTGTGTCACGTTTGGCCATTGGTAGGATCTTTTCTCTGATAATTGACGTCATGTTAATGAGTGGAGGATGAAAGTATAATACATCTGTGAAGACGGATAAAAGAAGAGTATGTCCTATATATAGATATAATTTTGGCAGGTTGAGGGTTCCTTAAATTATTTTAGAATATAGAGAAAAGTTATTGGACGTGCTGAGGATCAATATATGCATCTGATGTATTTCTTTAGTGTAATAAATGTGTTGAAAAGCACAAAATGCCCCAATAAATATAAAATATATATATATATATATGCATGTTATTCTAAAACAGTTTTAGCTTCCTGTCCTGTTGACATTTGGTTACAGAGGTGTGTTTAAACTTCCAGGAAACTCCCACCTCAGTTACGGCCCTGTCTGATTTATGCTCCCTTTATAAGTAACTGACCATCCCCGGCTTCCTAGTAACACCACTCAAGCGTCAACACACACGCAGTCATGCACCATTACATTTTATATTGCACCCATAATAAAGGAATTCGTCTGATCGTCCACCTCGCACTAAAACCTAATTGAATTAGGACGCAGCAGCATTAGGGTTTCTAACTGCTCAGGTAACCCAGAAACAGTGGAATGAAGCTTCCTGTGTGTGAGTGTGTGTGTGTGAGGGGTTTTAGAGCAGATAATGTTACACTGTGAGGTGTAAAGACTGGACATTTGACTGGGCAGTTGTAGCTTAAACTCAACAGAAACAAAATAAGTCCAGCATTCAGTCTTAGGTATTTCTGGGTCCTGTTCATCATTGGGGAGTTTGACCAATGAAATTCACTGTAAATTTGTTGTTGTAATATTACGATATTAGAGACACCTTATGGTGAAGAACTTCAAAAATACGACGGATTTATTTTATAAAAACACGGCTTTGTGCTGTGTATTTTATTTGGAAGACGTTTATATGTCTGTGCTCATCTTTTGAGAGGAGCTCAGGACTGACAGAAACACATTCTTAATCTTTAAAGACGACTCAATGGTAGTTATATAAGACAGGTAAAAAAAAAAAACACTGCAGGTTACAGAGGTGACTGCGATCTGCACATGTGATGTCATGTCCGACTGTTGTCTTAATCCTCCTCTGTAGACACACACACACACACACACGCTTCCTGCTGCAGTGTGATTAAATCTCTAAGGAAAGTAGCAGTGGCTGCAGGGATAAGTAGGACCAGTGTGTTGGGACTAACAGCTGGGTCCAGAGTGGCTGTTAATCCAGCTGGGCTTTAGCATGACGGAGGGGAGAACAACCATTCAGGTGTGTTTTAAATCCTCACATATCCAAAAGGTTTAGTCATAGAAGAAAGTGCTAATAAATTGAAAAGCATGTCCAGCATGTCCCTTCATAGCAACGAGCGATGGATATCGCAGCTACGATTAATTTAGAAAAATAATAATGTTTCCATGGTGAAGATTTGGCTTCAATTCAGTAAATACATTTCACAATGTATTTACTGAATTATATAATGAGTTTATATAATATGTAAATATTGCTTTAGAATTTGCAAAGCAAGTGTTACATTAAAATATTTAAAACTACTGTTTAAAAAAACAACAACAGTGATTTTGTTTTTCTGAAGCGACCTGTATGGTCTTTAAAACCCCATGTTGGTCAAAGCCTGGTCTGATAAACCCACAGCTCTTCCTGACCTTCTGCCAAGCTCTTATCATCAGTGGAAGCCACTGCAGTCAGAACCTTTAATCTGTGCAGCTGACTGCCTATCAGGGAGCAGACTACTGTGTGTGTATGTTCACGTGTCAATGTGTGTGTAGTCTGAGGCCTGGCCATCTTCACCCCTGCTGCAGCCCAGTGACAGGTGCTAATGCTGCGGCGAGAGGCTGCACGGGCCTCCGTGCTCCTGGCTGTGATAACAGCGCCTGCTCTGCAGGAACACACACACACACACACACACAGTGGTGATAAGTGCGCTACACTTCAGAGGAATCCTGTGTGTTTGTGTGTATGTTGGATGAGCAGAGCTCCTATCAAAGGATGAGTGTGTGTGTGTTTGAGTGTGTTTTCAAGGGCAACAATACTTGAGTATTGAGGGTTTTTTTAAAAAAAAACAATTTAATTTAATTTAAAATCTGTCAGCATAGTAAACACACAACGCTGTTACATTGTTACTAAAACTGGAACAGAGGGATCTCCGTTTATAATCGCTAGAGAAGAAATAATAAAAGCAAAATAAAATGAACCAACGGCATGAATTTTTGTGAAGGAATGGTTAATAAATCGATATAGTGCTGTGGAATATCTATATGGTATTGTGAAACGAAATATCACAATATTTCAGTCTATCTTATCTTCCATTTTACACGTGGCCCACATTGTGCTCAAATCCATTCTGTCTGGGCCATTACTACAGTACCAGGAGTGGCCCACATGCACATGTTTGAACTGGTCGACTCAGTGTAGGCATGTGAAGTGCACATGACTTTACATTAGTGACACCTACAGGGGGAACATTTCTAGCAGCATCCCAACCAGTAAAACAACATGTCTGCAGATGACAGTAAGGTGGCGCTGCATGTAAGAATTAACAGAATAAAGCCAAAAATTGCATGGAGGAGTTTTTGGTTTACTGTAAAAAGGTAAAAACAGATGACATGATGAACGCAGTCACACATCAGAGGGTGTCAACCTCCACATACCAGAGTTTCCGACCAACATCACTTGCTTCTGGTTCCTGGTCCGGTCTAAATGTGGCTCATTACTGTCTCCATCCTCCCCTAAATGTCTGCGTCTTCCTCTTCAGATTTCATAAGATTTGATTCAGCGCCTGTGCACGTTTTTCCCACCAGCGAACAGTAACCACCAAAAACCCTATCACGACCATCGTGTGCTTGTTTGGCTCGGCCATTTCCTGCGCGCCACTGTCTGTCACATATTTCCTGGGTGTTAACGAGGGGAGAGATGCTGATATGAGAAACTGATGGCAACGATAAGCTCAAACTCGAGCCATTAGGTCATGTGTTTGTATTGTTGCTTACTGGCATGCTGAGTCACAGGAGCACTTCACTAACACCACTGCTAAATCATTCTTTATCACCTCACGGTGCTCGCAGGCACAAAGGCTGAGGCAAATGAACACACTAATAGAATGAACCAGTTGTTTTACTGTGTGCCTGCCTGCTTGTCTGCCTCATGAGCTTATCACACACACTCACACACACACACACTCACACAGAGACAGGTTGCAGACTCCCTGGCTCCAAAGCACAAGATCTCCCTGATTGTAGAAATTATGGCAGACAGAAAGGAGAGAAGATTAAGACACAGTGTAGGTCTGCGCGGATTTGCTTTGACAGGCATGAAGATTATGTTGTGCTTACGGGTTGTTTGTGTGTAGGAAATTCACTTACACTGAGCTGGGGGAGAAATGTTTGTCCGACATACATGTTAAGTAAGTCCTACATTTACATGGCTATCACTGCTGAAACACAAGATCGATGTCCTTCCTCCATTGGTCAGCAGCTCCTTCTGTTGATATGGTGTTATATGTACTTTATATTTTTAAATATCATGTTAGCACTGTTGAAAAGTGATACATTTAATTAGAATAATGTAACTGTTTCTAACTCATGGAGGAGGCAGTGCTAATGTTCTTTCCATTTTGACCCATGATTTTTAAGCAGGTTTTGCTAAAACACGTGATAACAATCAATGTGGACAATGAAAGAGGCAAAACACATCGTGTTTACGACAAATCTGTATTTATTTACACATGGCGGTTTTGCCCTGTAGGACTGTAACAGTAGCACAAAAATGCTAACGCTAAATATATCTGCTATCAGCTTCAGTATTGTAGACATACCCACAGTATAACAAAGAAAAATGTGGTTTCACTTAGTCTTACTTTATATTTTACTGAAATTAAATCAACGTTAGGCCTGTCAGCTCACACTTTGACTGGACCTTTTGGATTCTTCCACATTTCAGTTGTGCAGACTGCTTTAGCAGCTCAGTCTAAAAACTCCACTGGAATCCTAGTATTCATTATTAATATCATTATTATTATTATTAGTAGTAGTAGTAGTAGTAATAGTAGTAGTAGTAGTAATAGTAGTAGTAGTAGTAATAGTAGTAGTAGTAGTAATAGTAGTAGTAGTAGTAATAGTAGTAGTAGTAGTAATACTATTATTGTTATTGTTATTTTACCAACACTCATTCAAGCACAGACCATGAACATTATTGGTGGTAAGTTCAAAGGTCAGAGACACGGTCAGTTGTTGTTAAACTCAAGAGTTTCCCTTTTGCCAGTGACACTGACTCAGAGAACATGTCAGAACACAAGAAAAACACAACGTCACAGTGGCAACAGGAAATGATTTTTTACATTGACATTCTTTTCACTGTGACTTGATCTGATCCATGTCAAATTCAGTCAGACAGGTCCAAAATCTTAAAAGATGCTTTGTTTTGAAGATAATGAGTTGCCTGCAGTGCCTTGTGCTGATCAAAATGTCTCTAAATCAACCATGTGTGTAACTGTAAATGCTGAATGTGATTTTTCTTATTATTATTATCATTTGTCTTAGGACACACTCCACACTGGTGCATTTTGTGGACTGTTCAGCAACTAAACATTAAACCTATGTGTATGTGTTGGCCCACAGGACCGTTTGATGGGCGCGGGGTGACCCTGCTGGAAGTGTGCGGAAGCTGGCCGGAGAGCTTTGGCGTGCCACGACACAACATTGGATCGGCAGATGCCAGTGATGAAGGCCTGCGTGAGAGACTGGCCGACGCCATGTCTGAGTCGCCCTCCAGAGACATTGTAGGATCTGCTACAGGTCAGTGGAGTTCACTGCAGTAAACAAGTGCCCACCCAATAGGAAAGGTCATATATGATTAATTTTTCCCCAGTTTTTGGGGTGATCCCACAATATCTGAAAAATGAGATGAACGACATCATCCAATCATTTCCTAACGTCCAGAAAGAACAACATCGCTTTTCTATTTGGAACAGAGCACAAAAGACAAGACAAAATAATATTCATTATATATTAAGTAAAAACACCACAGCAGTAACATCTCACTAATGTACAGCTGCATTGAACATTTTTAACTGATGGTGGAATTCACTCAAACTCCAGGATGTTGTGTCTTTGCCTGGTAAGATACAGGATCTGGCTTGTGATTGGTTGACATCTGAGTGTCAAGATGGTGCCGAGGTTCAGGGAACGCTATCCTTAACAACAAGTCTGCAAAAAACAAGGAAACGAGTATGATGGCGTGTGTGACACGGTGTTGATTGTGATGCATCTGCAAACACCTAGCTTTACTTCCTTTACTTTGCTTCCAGCGCCGTGTGTGTGTGTGTGTGTGTGTGTGTGCATGGATCAGTGTGAGGACAGCAGACATGCCGTTGGCTCTGACAGTCCAAATGGTTAACTCATTTAGGAAGCTCCACTGCTCTTTTCTATTTCTCTGCCCCCCCCCCCTCCCACAGACACACACCCCTCTTAAGTGAACAAGAGTTCCTTTGATTTAAACGTGTGTGTGTGTGTCTGTGTGTGTCTTTTTGGAGGATTGGGGGGTCTGTTGGTGTAGGAGAGTAAGGGGCTCACAAGCCTCTAATGGATTTAGCATCGACTATCACCCACCCCAACCA